ATTATATACCAAGGATGATCTTGAACTTCTGATCCTCCTACTCCATATCCCGAGTGCTAGGATTACAAGTGAGTGTAACCACATCAAATTTATTCTGTCCTGGGGATCAAATCCATGCTAGACGAGATCACTACCCACTGAACTACATCCCCAGTGCAGGATAGGTTTTTTTGTTTTATTTTGTATTTTTAAGTCCTGCTTTTTTAGATGAAGCAGGTGAATTTCCGACAAGCAATTTATCTGCCCTAGGACACCTTGAAGTCAAGTTTTGAATCTCAGCTCTGGTTCTTTCTACCATACCTAGAGGCGGGATACTCAAATTTCCCAATGTTAGCTGTATCCCCATGCAAGCACCACATCTTCTGGCCTTTCCATGCTCAGGCATCACTAACACCTGACCAGTGGATGGTCCTACTTCCCATGATGTCCTACGACGTTAATGGCTTACAGTATCAGCCTTTCCAATGACTTTGTCTGATCTGAGTTCCTAAGCCCAGGGGTTTGTGGGAGTACTCACTCGGTGAAGGATTTCCATAGCAACTCTCCCACTTAGTACCCTCTTCTCACATTTAGGAATAATGAACCCTGGGATAGTAGGAAATAAGAAGAAACGCAGGGATTTTCAAAGTTTCTCGTGGACCTCACAGTGAAACCATCTCTAAGTTGGTTTCAGCACATTGTCTTTCCAAGTCCCTGGCCCTCAGCTATGCATGTCTTCGCCAGGTTGCTAATGTGCAGAGCCCTCCCTGGCTTGCACCCTGTCCCCTGGCTCCTACAGTGTCTTGCTTAGATGGAGTCCCTCCTCCCTCTCCTGAGAAACAGACCTTCCTCCTGACAGTCGGCCATGCCTTAAGACAGGTCTCCCTCCTGAAACACCTGCTTCTTACAGAAGCACTACTCATAAGTCACTTCAAACTAGCCTTGGTGCCTTGGGCCCTGGCATGTCCTCAGTGCCTAATCCTGAAATCCTTTTATGTCAACATAGGCTTCCCAGGGACTCAGCAGGGTCAGCAAAGACTTAAGATGAGATGAACCTGAGTTGCAAGCCTCCATTGGCCACCAGCTAGCTGTGTGGCCTTAGGAAAGTTGCTCAACCTTCCAAGGCCTGAATGGCCACAAATGAAAAAAACAAGTATTAGAGGAGTGAGTACATAAGACTTATCAAATACCTGAGATGAAAAAGGCATGAGGCAGGGAGGGAATTGCCTGGGAGGAAATGCAAACTCATTGTTAGATGGCCACTCTGAAAATCCTCCTGAGCCTCCACCCTGACTGACACACAGCTTCGCCTTTCTCCCTCTCTGGTCCCTGCATAGCACCCATAGCACCCAAGCAGATGGCATGTGGCTCCCCTATCACTTCTTCTACCCTCTTTGAGGACACAATCCTTGGCTACATCTCTGAACACAGTGCCTGGTACAGAGAAGCCTAGGAAGCTGTTGGGGGGGGGGCTTTGTGGGTGCAGATGATAAGGCACACAGAGGCAACGTTCAGGGATCAACCCCAGCTCCCAGTCTCAAGAGCAAGGTTGTCCTGCTGGACCTGTTTCCTCCCCTTGCCATTGTAGGTGACCACCACGTAGACATACTTCCAAGAGACTGGTGGCTATCCAGAGCTGTGTATCTGGCAAGAGCAGTGAAGGAAAACCAACTCCATGTACAAGGTCAGCAAATGCTAATGTAGGACCCACACAGAGGGCTCTGCAGAAGGTCCAGTGCCTGGTTCTTCTCCAAGGTTCCAGGTCACCATGCTCAGCCATACTCCTCATTCTACATGTTGGGGGATTGAGGCCCAGAGAAGGAAAAAGACCAGCTTCAGTCCTAGGGGAGATTCGGCAGTCGTATGTCATGCCTGGTCTGGGAAGCCAAACCTGAGCAGAAGACATACCGAAGACCATAACCTCCTGTCATAAAGACAACCTCTCTGTAGGGACTTGAGGGTTACCTGATGCCTGCTTCCTCAGGTTGGCTGGAACCCAAGCCTGACCTCAGCCCATGACAGACAGAAGGTGTACCTCTTCTGCCAAGAAACTATTTAAGGGCTCATAAGACCTAAGCCATCTCAGGGACAAGGCAGGAGACAGGACTTGACAAGTACCAAGAACATCTTCTCAGCACCACTAGGGATCCCACGAAAGCAGAAATAGGTAATCCAAGCCAGCATGGTGGCTCACAACCATAAACCCAGTAGTCAGGAAGGTTGGGAGTTCTAGATCATCCTTAGCGATACAAGAATTTGAAGCCAGGCAGGGAGACCCTGTCTCAAAAAAGCTAAAACAAGAGTAAAAGGGGCACTAAAGAAAGGCGCCGCTCTCTCTGTCTCTGTGTGTGTGTGTCTCTCTGTCTCTTTCTCTCTCTTCTCTCTCCCTCTCTTTATCTCTCTCCCTCTCCCTCTTCCTCTCCCCCTCCTACTCACACACATAGGCATACACAATATTTTTACATTTATTTTGTTACTTATTTGTGTGTGTATGTGGGTAAGACTGTCCTCAGTGCACCAACGGAAGTCAGAGGACAGCCTATGGAGGTTGGTTCTCTCCTACCATGTCAATCCTGGGATTCACACTCAGGTCACCAGTCTCAGCAGCAAGCCCCTTTTACTCACTGAGCCACATCACCCGACAGAGAGGAAGCTTCTCCTCCTCCCTAGACTCAAGGTCTAGTTGCAGGAGGAAGCAAACAGATGCCACCCTCCGTCTGAGCCTTCTCTTGCCTGACTGAACCTTCTGCAGAGGTGGTTTTTGTTTGTTGGTTGGTTTTGTTTTGCAAACTGAAGGCAGAAAAATAGTGGCTTGGTTCGGAAGGTCTAAGGCCTCTCCTTGGAGGCCCAAAGGCCTGTGAGGCTGAGCAGGGACCGGTCTACAAGCTTCTACCACCTGAGCCAAAGGAGGCTTGGTACGGAATCTGACTGCTCTCAGAACTGAAGCATAGGCTGCAGTGACTGTCTTAAGCGTCCTTCCACGTGCGTGTAAGCCACAGCATGAGAGACAGAGGCCCGATGCCAGGACAATCTTTCTGACAGCATTTCTTTATGACCCTTGAACAGGCCTCCTGGAGGGTCAAGAATAGGTTCCAGTGAGCACATGTCTTTGAAAAGATGTCTAAGTGTCTGCTACCTCATGTCATCAGGGGGAAAGTGAGGACCTAGGGTCAAGGGACTTATCAGGACCCAGTGTTCCTATTTCTGGCTTGTGACCTCATTCATATTACTTCACATTCCTGGGCCTCCATTGCCTTTTCTGAAACTGACTCTGGAGGCTGAGGCCACTTCACAGTGTTGTCAGGAGACTTAATGAGATGGTATCATGGAAAGCCCCACCCAGGACCCAGCATAGTATAGACAGTAAATCCCATTCCCTTCCTCCAGCCTAAGGAAGTCTGGCCTCCCAGTGTTGTCTGGAGACACATTGTCCCTTCAGTCTCCTCAGAAGAGCAGGTACTATCTCCATCAAGGGTCTGTGGAGAAGGGGTTTGCCTATGGAGACAACGCCAACACTCTTGAGGGGCTTGGCGCTTCCCTTAAAGGCCAGCTAGAGCTTACCCCGGCCTTCTCCTCCCAGCAGGACTAAAGACTTCTCTCTTCCATGCCCAGTCCTCACCCAGACCTGACACAGCCCGCCAAGTCACCCAGCCAAGCCACTCCTCCTTCTCCTACTCTCTGTTCAAGGCAATATGATCTGAGCTCAGAAGAAGTAGCCCCAGACCGGAATCAATAAGCATGTGTGTGTGGACACTGCGACTGTAATGAGCCCTGGGGGATTCTGGGAATTGGGAGCAGACACAGAGGTCTGGACCAAGGAAGGCAGCAAGGGCTACAGTTGCTTTTGACCTTGGAAAAATCAAAGGGGGCTTCCTGAAGCCAGTGTCTTTCCCTCTAGGGGACTTATGTGCCCTTTAGACAGAAGTGTCTGCTTCAAAGGGACAAAATACAGCTTCACAGAGGGACAGAGATGGACGCAGCTGATCATCTTAAGGGCTAAACGTGCCCAGCTAGACACAAAGGAGTGTTCAGTGTGTGAGGTAAGGACTGAAGACAGGAACAGGATCTCATAACAAGCTGTGAAGGGACACAGCCTAGGATCCCAGAATAAGACCGGGGTTTGGAGTCTTAAAGTATGAGATCCAGTCCAGGCCCAATGCTTACTGCCCATCTGCTAAGCAAGCCCTTCATCTCTACACCAGCAGGCTCCTCATCTCTAAGATAGGAAGGACAAACCCTGTCCACCTATGGTGGTGAGTACTGAATCAGACACACGGGTAAATGTGCCTAGCCCAGTGACAACCAAATACTGGTATACAGCAGTCACTTGAAAAATAATTATTAAACATGTGTTCTGTGTTAGGTGTCCCAAAGAACCCTGAGAAACTGTCCCAGCCCCACTTCCACCCTTCTCAGTCTTCCCCATCCCATGGGATAAAGCAGAAAAGTAAGCTACCTTCGGGACCAAAACTCTTTACACACTCAAGAATGAATGAATGTACACTCAAAGCGGCAGTGGCACACGCCTTTAATCCCAGGACTCGGGAGGCCGAGGCAGGTGGATCTCTGTGAGTTCAAGACCAGCCTGGTCTAAAGATTGAGTTCCAGGACTACACAAAGAAAAACCCTCTCTCAAAAAAAAAAAAATATGTATGATCATTCAAGAAAGAAGAAACACCAGAGGTAAGTGTCAGAATGGTGACTTCCTCAGAACTGTATGCCACCAGAAATACTGAATACATGACCAAGAGGCATTTGTGAAAAGAAAAGTGCTTCTTTATTGAAGGAACAGACATCCGTACAAAGGTCAGTTGCTTCATGCACCTCTGTGCTCAAAAGCAGGGAAAGCTACAATAAGGAGAACACGCAGAGCCCAGGACTGGGAAGCAGGGCGACCCTCGTCTTCGGGTCACTCTCTGAAGGCATGGACAGGAGTCTGCTTTGCCAACCTCACTGGCCAGTGCCTCTCTCAGCTCAGAGAGAGCAGAGGTGGCAAGGGGCTTTTCTCCTGCACCAGATACTTAGATTTCTCTCTTACGGGAAGAAACCACCTTTCCATCAACCGATTCCTCCACACTAATGTGAAAATTGCTGCTGCTGCTACCGCCGCCACTGCCACCTCCCAGGGAGGCTGCAGGAAAAAAAAAAAAAAAAGATTTCATAGTGGGCATGGGGACTTCCAGAAGCAGGCTTAGGCTCTGGGAAAATGGACAGCACCCCTACAAATAGCCACTGGACAATCCCTCTGGAGCTGCCAGGAGGTCTGGTGAATTATTCATCAGAGGTGAGAGCTGGTAACCTCAGGGATGCCCAGCAGTGAACTGTACAGGGGGGTTTAAACTGTGCATGAACAGGAGTTACCGTGAGTATCAAATCACACCAGCATGAAGGTGAGATCGGGTAGAAAGGCAAGCCCTTATCAAAGCCTGCTCGGCCTGGAAGGTTCTTAGGAAGCTTCTAATCTCAGTCCCACCTAGAGTCCTTGGGGAAGGGGAATCTGGAGCAGGAGTAGCCTGACATTGGGATATCTGTCTCCTCCTCCTTCCTCCCCACTATAGGTAGAATGCTGCCTCCAATGCTCTGCTCCCACCCACACCGAAGGGGTTCACCCTCTCTTACCTTCCCTGACACCGATGCCAGCCATCCTGAAAGAGAAGGGACACTGGGTGTAAGCCAATGAAGAAAGCGCCAGTCTCCCTAAAGGAGCCCCAGTGGACAGCTGAGCGGTCCTTTCCAACCCCCACACCACAATGACTTTTCTAAGGGCTAGGTCAGTCCTGGTGGTCAGTCCCTCAGGCTTGCCATCCCAAACAGACAGATGGGGAGTTGCAGCCTGTGCCCTGTCCATCATTTACAGGAGAAGCACAGGTCCAGAGCAGAAACCATATGCCCAAAGTAACAGCTGAACACCAGAATGGAGACTCCAGACCCCTTAGGTCTCCTTCCACTCAACAAAGCAGCTCTTGGGATACCCTGATTTCCTCTTCTGATGGCCCTGGGCCATCCATCCATCCCCCTTCTTTCTCCCTGCACCTGTACACCTACTTAGCATCCTGGCCCTCAAGCAGGTTGCGGTAAGTGGCGATCTCCTGCTCCAGCCGAGTCTTGATGTCCAGCAGCATGTTATATTCCTGGTTCTGAGCTTCCATCTCACAGCGGAGCTCGCTCAGCTGGCTCTCCAGGCTGCTAATAAGCCCTTGGATCTGCTGCAGCTGTGTGGCATAGCGGCACTCCACCTCTGCCAGAGAGTTCTCCAGCCCGGCTTTCTGGTGGGGTGACAGATGCATAAACCCATTGGGCTAGAAGGCAACCCACTGGAGGGAGAAGAGCAGGAAGGGTGGTAAGGACTGCCTGAGGTGACAGGAATGTGTGAGGTGAGGCTTTACCGGCCATGTGTCACCCAGTAGGGAGAGAGTGACCGTACCATGCTGAGCTGGGACTGCAGCTCGATCTCCAGCCCCTGCATGGTGCGTCTCAGGTCTGTGATCTCCGTCTTGCTGGACTGGATCATTTCTGTGTTGGAAGCTACCTCCTTGTTCAGCTCTTCCGTCTGCAAGTCACACATGAGAAACATGAGCCTCATGGGCCTCCTCAGAGGCCTCTGGAGTGGGAAGGAGGGAGAGAGCAGAGCTGGGGGTGTCAGGCCCACCTTACTGAAGAACCAGGCCTCTGCATCCCGACGGTTTTTCTCCGCAATGGCCTCATATTGTTCCCTCATCTCGGCCAGCATGCGGGTCAAGTCCACCCCAGGTGCAGCGTCCATCTCCACATTGACCTGGCCCGCCAGCTGACTGCTGAACTCTTTCATCTCCTGCAAGGGGTGGGAGTGACAACCATTTAGAGACAAGGCTATAAAGCAGACAAAGAATCGAGAGTCCTGAGGGCTAACTCTGACTGTCTCTAACTCACAATGTGACCTTAGCACATCACACCACCCTATCTCTATTCCCCATTGGAACACATGGATCCCTCAGTTCTGAGGATCTCTCTTGCTCTGGGTCCTAAGAAACAAGGACCTTGAGATAATAAGCCTATGAAGCAAACCAATTCTGCAGTTCACACATGGCTTGGCCTTGGGTCCAGATTACCAGAGATTAGTGCCCTTCTCTTCCATGGGGCCCCCCAGGTACATTTCTTAATCCCCAAGCCCTCAGAGGACTGTGACAAAAGACTGGCTGTCCTGGGCTTCTTCCTACCACCCTGTCTTGCTGTTACCTCCTCGTGATTCTTCTTCAGGTAGGCCAGCTCCTCATTCAAGTGCTCAATCTGCATCTCCAGGTCGGTCCTGGCCAGGGTCAGCTCGTCTAGCACCCTGCGCAGCCCGTTGATGTCGGCCTCCACACTCTGGCGCAGGGCCAGCTCGTTCTCATACCTGGGAGAGGAGAGGAGCCAAAGTCAGGAAAGGTGAGGGGCCCAGGTTCTGAGTCATAGAGGAGGAAGGCTGGGTAGAGGGGGTGAAATGGACAGGGGTGGAGAAATGGGAACACACTTGAGCCTGAAGTCATCCGCTGCCAGCCTGGCATTGTCAATCTCCAAGATGACACGTGAGTTGTCAATGGTGGCCGCCAGTATCTGCAGGAGACAGAGTTGTACCTTAGGGCTGCTGCACGACCCCCTTCGCCAACTACTGCCCAGCTTCACTTCCTGTGTGCATCAGTTGTGCTGGCCCATGCTCCCTTCCCTGTGGCACCTTCAAGGAATGGAAACTAACGAGGCAGTATTGCCTGGGATTGCCTGGGGGCATGGCTAGTCAAGACCGTGCTGCAATGGATACAGTTGGCTCTGTCAGGTCAGGACTCTCGGGAGACACACTATACCAGCCTACTTGGGCACAGCTCACAGTGGCTGCCTCCTGCGTGCCTTGACAGAGCCCTTCATCTCCAAAACATTGCAGTCATTGGGAACTTGGACAGCAGCTAAGGAACGTGTTTGCCACTAAGGAAAACAGATCCAGTTAGTTAAAAGGGAAAGTGAGGGGGTGGCACAGCCTCCACTGAGTTCCCTGGTCTCCTAAGATCTAGCAATGATCAACAATAAAGACATCCTTGAGGCCTGAAGTAAACAGCCCTGGCATTTAGGACTCTTGAGGTTGTGCCTGAACAGCACACGGGTCACAAAGTTAAAGCAATCAGTTGCAAAAATCCCTGAAAGTTTTTGTGAGGCAGGGAGAAGGAGCTGCTCTCTTTTGTTGCCCTCATTTGCAATCCTGTGTATCCAAATCAGATTCCCAAGACCACTCCCTCCCCTCCCCCAGCACTGCCAAGTGGAACACGTGTGTTCCCACATGTGCCTGGGAAGCAGGTGCATCCCAGCCTTGCCAGGTTACACAGCAGGGAAGGACTCTCTTAGTCAACAGCAATGTTGCTGTTGCATATGTGTACAGGGCACCTACTGCCTGTTTCCCTCTGTCTGACATATATATGAGGACTTACTTTGTCCCGGATCTCTTCCATGGTCTTAAAGTAATGGCTGTAGTCTCGCTCCGGACTGGCTGGGCTCTGCTTCTGGTACCAGTCTCGGATTTTCACCTCCAGCTCCGTGTTAGCCTGCTCCAGGGCACGTACTTTGTCCAGGTAGGAGGCCAGGCGGTCATTGAGGTTCTGCATGGTGATCTTCTCATTGCCAGAGAGGAGACCTCCATCGCCACCACCAAAGTCACCAAAGCCACCACCAAAACCCCCACCAAAGGCTCCACCAAAACCGCTACCAGCACCACCACCAAAACCACAACTCATACCGCCCCCATATCCCCCTCCTGCCCCCGAGGAGACAAACCTAGCAGAAGAAGCAGAGATGCTTCGGCTCCCACCTCCCCCGTAGAGACTCCCTCCACCAAAGCCGCCTCCACCAGCACGGAGGGAACCCCCTCGGGTAGAGCCACCTCCAAAGGTGGAAGAAGTTTGCAAGAATGTGGTGGCCATGGTCAGGCAGCCTGAGCCTTCGTGTCCTTTTCAAGCAGGAGGGACTCTAGCAGGAGCTTCTGAGCTGGGCTGAAACCAGGCTGCAGTGCTGTCGCCCCTAGCCTGGGATTCCTTATATACCGTTTCGAGGGGGTGGGGGCCTTGCCTCCTCCCCCTGAGTGGAGCCAACTCCTCTGCCTTCCAGACAAATACAGTTGCCTGCACACCTCCACAGGGCTCGCTTGTGGTGAGTTTTTCTTTTCTTTTTTTTTTTTTCTTAATGCAACAAGAGAGATGATTCAGAATTAATGGGGTTTTGCTCTAGGCCATGGTTTTAACACTTGGATTACAGGTTCATTTCTCACTCCAGGAAGAAGAAGAGAGCCACAAGAGCAAACCCTCAGCATAGCACAGCTCCCAAGTTCCCTCATGTCCCATCCCGTTAGAGCAGCCAGGCCAGCTCTGCCTCCCACCCCAGCCCACTGCTGGCATGTGAGCCTTACCCCAGGTAGAAAGCTTCCTGCTTTCAGTTTCTCCCACCACTGCTCTGTACTACCTACTCAAACGCCCTATACATAGCCTTCGGGACATGGAAGTCCCCGGGAATGAGAACACAGGTGACCACAGTGCAGGCTAATAGGGTCTCAAGTCAACTTCCAAACGAGTTGACCAAAAAAGCCGGTGCCTGTCCCTCTCTCCCATCCCTGATACCTGGGCATGCTCTCTCCTCTCACAGCCCTCCCACCACCCCAATTCCAGAAGTCCCTCCTACCTCTTCAGTCCCCCCCCCCCAGCCCAGGGTCCTGGCTAGTTCACAAAAGCCCAGAAGGCTCAGGCTGACAGGAGTCTGATTGATGGTCCTGTCACCAGCCAACTGCACATGTCACTGAACCTCTGCTTGCTCCCAAGACGCGTTGGGGCAAACCTCTGCAGATAAGACCCGGGCGAGTTCCAGAAAGTCTCCCGCCTTCTTCAGCAAGAGACATGTCGCTGCTTAGCAGGGGCCAGATTAACCCCCATTTGCCTTGTCAGCTGCTGCCAGCTGGGGAGGGGCTGAGCTAGAGGCTCTGCGTGCCTAAGTACAGGGAGGAAGGCGGAGGCAGGAAGGGGGGCTGGCAAGCAGGTGGAACACATCAGAGCTCAGAGGCCAAGGAATCAGTCACTGCAATACTGAGGCCAAAAAGGACAGGGTCTTCTGCCACCAGCTCTAACAGCCCTATTTCTCTAAGACAATGGCACTGTGGGCAGTGCCACCCAGACTGGAGAGAATCCACAGGAGGGCTTCTAATGGAGAGCTACAATACGAGAAAGTGAATAGGGCTCCAGCATTCCTTGGGCCTGTGTTTAAACCCCATTTCTATGAATGACTCCTGTGAAGATCTGTACTCGTCAGTTTTCAAGGCCCAGCCTCTTTGTGTATAGGACACTCACTTTATGGGACGTGCTGAGACTCAAGATTCCCATTCTGCCTCTCCTGACTCCCCATTATCCATCTGAGGCAGGGTGATAGCTGCAGGTCTGGCACCTGCACCTCCTGAGACCCCCTCCAGGAAAAACGCTTCCCTCGGACTTGGAACACTCTCAGGCTCGTCAGCTCCAGCTAGCCATCGGATGACCCTTCTTTTTGCTGTAACAGGATAATCCTCTGCTTCTGCCCCATACGTTCATGACTGACAAAGTACTTCTGTACCCACAATCCCCTCTAATCCCATGACACAGAGCACAACTGGGACCCAAGTTTCAGAAGGAACGAAATGAAGACTCAAAGGGGTGACACCATGAACACAGGACGGCCCACCTGGAAAGGGGATTACCAAGACTATGTCACCCTGACACCCACACCACCCACCCAAGCAAGATATAGAAAACTTTCCTGTTATCTGAACTGGGTTAAAAGGAGAACTGCAGGCCTCAGGGAGAGGTCTCCTCACCAACTTCACAGCAGGCCAGGCATTCTGGTGCTGGCTCCAGACAGTATAGTATTGTCTTATGGGTGGGAGGATATTGTCTTTTCCTTCCAAAGAAAAATAATCAAACCCAGATCAGTCAGAGCTCATTAAAACCTCTGCAGACATGGCGGCCCCAGCAATTAACACAGAGAACAATTAATCTTCCATCACCCCAGGGTGAGGGAGAACTGGACTCCAGCCAGCTCCTTTCTGCACCCTAACTCCCCGCTAACAGCTCTTGGGGAGACTTTCCTTCCACTCTCTGATCCAAGCCAGAAGTGACACCTGCCTTCCTTTCTGTCCTAACTCAAAAGAAAGTCTCTAATCTCGGGGCTGGGGAGAGGGCTCAGTCATAGAGTATTTCCCCGCACAAGCATGGGGACCCTAGTTCGGATCCCCAGTACCACATAAAAGCCAGGCACAGTGCTAGAGGCTTATAGCGCCAGCAGGGGGTGGGAGTGGGGTGGGGGAAAAGTAGTTCATCACTGGGGCTCACTGGCCAACCAGTTTAGCCCAATCAGTGGGCTCCTGTCTCAGAGAATGACCCTGTCTCAAAAACCAAGATGGAAAGATTGGGAAAGAACTCTGGCCTTCACATGTTTGCACACATGAAAGGAAAAAGGAAGGAAGGAAGGAAGGAAGGAAGGAAGGAAGGAAGGAAGGAAGGAAGGAAGGAAGGAAGACCCTGATCCGAGTCCAAACAGCTACCGTGAGCACCTATCTGGCTGACGGGGGAAGGTTTGGAACATTTTCATCAGCAGGCTGGATAGATATGTGCCTGTTTCTGACCTTTGTCCACAGCAGCCAAGCAGGTACCTCTGGAACAGGCCCTCCATCCTTGAAATGAGGTCATACTGCCCACTAAGGTCCATCTCTTGTGTGACTTGACCTCTCTGAACTGGGATCAGGACCCAGCCCCAGCACCATGGTGAGCACCCAGATGGCACATGAGGAAGGAAGCCACCTAAACATCGGCTCCCATTCACACCCAACCCTGCCCCCTAGATCAGTTCCAGGGATAGAGTGCACAACCACTGGCCTTAGAGTCCCACCATCCCGTTTATTACCAGGCATGTGGCTCTATGCAATGATTTGGCCTCTTTCAGAGCTTCCATCTATGCCAAGAAAATGAGAACAACTCCATGCACAGGCAGAACTGATGCGTAGACGGAGCAAGGCAGGTGATGGGGAAAGTGCTACAAACTGGAGTAGCCATGATGGAACGACCCAGCTCTGCTGTCTCCGAGCCCGGAACAGCAAAGCCCTTCCACCCTGAACACACAAAGAAAGGCTTCATCCCACACCCCAACCTGTATCCTCCTGTGTTGGTGACCCAGTCACCTGCCACACCTGTGTGGGCCCACACCCCGCCCCACAGTCACATTCCAGGGGGCCCTGGGTCAGAGAGAGGGTTTCAGCTGTGACAAGGGAGCCTTTCACAGACAGGGACAAGGATCTCCGAGCAATCTGAGGCTGAGGTGCGGCCTGGCCTCTGCCACCAGCTCCGAACCCTCTGGGGAATTTAAGTGATGGAAGGAGATTGAGGGTGTTGTAAGGCAGAGGAGGAGGCCACAAAGGTGGGCAGAAAAGAGGAGAGCAGGGCTCTGGGACCACACTTTAATAATCAGCCTTATGATTTGGAGCAAGCTAAGGTACAGAGACCCAGCCACAAGGAAAAGAAAGAAATAGCGCCTTCTTTAGGCTTAGCAGGAATTGTGACTCAGGGCAACCAGCATTCTGTGTGCTTCCCTAATGGACCTCAGATGGGCTACTGAGTAAGATAAGGGTCCTTCACTTGTCCCCTCCCTCACAAGCCCCTGCCAGTTGTTGTGAGAGCCAGCACCCAGCAGCCAAGGCCTTGTTTTATGGGTCCTTTGTTTACCTTGAATTCGCCTCAGCTCTTGGCAGCTGAACTGTAAACGGCAGGGTCACCATACCTACCCAGGGGCAGAGATGAACCAGGAAGCTGCAGTTTTGTTCCTTTGTGAGCTCAGGGCAGGCTCCAGACAAGCCAGGTTGGGGACCCAGGTGGGAGGTCTAGGTCATAGCCCAGACCCATTCCAGGCTCTGGGGCCCAGGTAGGAGCTGGTGGGTGTTAAGGGACTTATCTGCATAACGAATGTGTTGGTGCCTGCACACTGGCATACTCCAACAAGGACACCCTCTCCAAGCTTGCTTTAAACAGGATATCTAAACCCCAAAGCCCCAGTGTGGGTTAAATAATGTATCAGGACAAACGCCTCAGGAGATACCCATCCTGAGATGTCACATGGAACAAGGCTAGGAGAAATGATGTCAACTCTAAGAGACCACCTGAGTCACAGTGGCTAAGAACAGGACTGCCCTGATTGTGTTGTAGAGTTGCGTGTGGCCTCAACCAGGGGTTTAACGGCTCTGAACTCATTCCCTGCTGATAAAAATGCAGCTTATCCCACCGCTGGGGTTGTTTCTATTAATGGCACATAGTAGGTGTTCAAACTGCATTCATTCCATATACACATACCAACCCGAGGGAGTAGAGTACAAAGGAAACTAAGTCTGAGCCTAGTTCAAAGCCCACTTCTGAGGGTGGAATGACTGCTCTGGCAACAGAGCCACTTACTGCACAAGCATAAGGACCTGAGTTCGAATGCCAGAACCCACAGGAAAAGCTGGGGGGGGACCACAGGGTGATTTTGGGGGTGAAGGCAAGTGCCACCGAGCCTGACAACCTGAGTTAGGTCCCTAGAATACATGTGGGTGGAAGGAGAGAAGTGACTTCTAAAAGATGTCTTCTAACCTTCACATCCACACAGCAGCATGCTTGTGTATACACGCCTACACACGCTAAGTAAATAAATAAATATAAAAAGAAAAAAGCCAGGTGTAGCATTGCACATCTGCATTCTCAACATGAGAGAGTGATTACAGAAGACACCTAATGTTGACCTCTGGCCTCTACACACACACACACACACACACACACACACACACACACACACACACACACACACGAATGCACGCATGCACACCTCACTTTTGCCATGTATTAGAACAGTTACATATGCAACCAACCACTGGACCTCGATAAGC